TTATGCACCCTCTTACTCTTTCCACCTGTTACTGAAATTCTTCAGAAGTCAGAGATTTTTTCTAAAATATTGAAGTTAAACATGCTCAGAACCATCGATTCGTATTAACGATCATAAGAGAGAGTACTTCAATTACGAAGAGGAAAGCTTCAGCCGTTCATTGAACCTTGTATATGCGGAATTCATACCTCCACACAGTTTCCAAATCCACGAGCTGGAGCATCCGGGCTCCAAAATTTGAAATCAACTTTTGTGCCGTCAGTCCAGGTCCAATTTTTGCTATTGATTTCATCTCGTAGTCCTATCCAGGTGAAATCCGCCGAATATGCAGAGACTTGTTTATTCATTTTTGACATCTCTAAAAAAAACCAATCAAGTGTTCATATGTAGGACAGAATGTCAATTTAGCAATATTAGGCGCGTAGAAAGTTCCGTCCCAATTTTCTTTCTAACACACAATATTTTGTATGCATTTTGTTTGTTTTTTTAACCTACTTTGTTTTTTTTCGAAACATGTATAAATGCATTTTAAGACTCTAAGCTTCCTCAGGATCTTTACCTCAGCTCCTACAAGGAGAGTAAAGTTTTCCAGCATCAGATTTGGAAGACCAAAGAGGAAAAAACTTTTTTCAGACAACTACTTAACGTCGCACCAGTTTAGGTTAGTACTTACAGAAGAGCTCGAAAAATTTCCTGAGTTTAAGGGAAATAGCAGCGAATCGCAAATGTTGGAAAATTTCAAAAAAAATTTTGTAAATTCAAAAAAGTCTTCTTTACTTCTTTATAACCTCTCTTCAATGTTGACCTTAAGAATACGCGATCCTGAGAAACGAAGGTAGACGGATAATCCCAAAAAAGGCGGAAGAGATGGTCTTTGGCTATAAAATCTTCAAATTCATAAGTTAATAACTCAAAAATTTAATTGGGGAATCACACAGCTTAAGTAGATGACGAATATTGCCGCAGCAAAGTCCTGCTCCGACGACTTTTGAAAAAAAATGGCATTGAAAAGTCGGAGAAGAGAGGGAGATCAAGCACAAAGAGTGACGATAAAAGCATAGAATCAAGTTTTTCGCTCTGTTCGTTGTCAATTTGTTGAATAAAAATCACTGATGGAAGGCGAATATGGAAAGAAAAAAGAATCGAAATGGATTTTTTGCCTCCGCGGATTTTTCTTTACAAATCAAAAATCTTTTGCAGCTTTTTCTGCTAAGTTTGCGGATGAGCAACGAATTTACAAGCAGAAAAATAGGACAGATCTTATTACACACCCTAGTATTTTTACCGGCTACAAAATTATTTTCTTCAAAGCTGTGAATTGAAGTCAAATGTCCTCCATAAGTATTATCGTCCTGGAACCTGGGCATCTTTGACCTAAGTTGATGTTCTAGTATTTCTTAGGAACTTTATTGACTTAACGTTTCAAACAAGTGTTCGTCGGAGGTCTGAAAAGGATTGTAGATTACGTATCTAATGTTGGCACAGTAACATCAGATACGTAACCTACAATCCTTTCCACACCTTCGACGAAGACTGTGTTTGAAACGTTAGGTCAAAAAAGTTCCACCATATTAACCTGTGCGGCATAAAAAATACTAGAACATCAAAGTACCATTGCTGTTGACCAAAAGATTGGGGACACAGGAAAAATTTAGATTCGGTATGTGCACACCCTTTGGGAAATAGGTGGAGGAAGTCTTATAAGACTTATTTAAACGAAGAGCGTAACAGAATCTTTTTCTGAAACGTAATGGCGGTGACTCTTTTATCTCCAATCCTTCACGCTTCTTACATACGTTTCCTTCAGATTCAGTGTTTTCAAGTTCTGATGTGCTTGGAGCTCTTCTTTGCTTTACTGGACTCTGTACAGCTTCAAAGATCCTGGTCTCAAGAAAGAAGACGCGTTTCGACCAGAAAAAGGTGTAGTTTGTGCTCAGAGGAGAAAACTTTCAATTCTATCATTTCAAGGTAGAATTGCAGGATTACGAATGCTAATTAACATGACCCTGGCGCTACAATACAGCACAAAACACAGGAGGGGGACTAGATTTTTTAGGCAGAAATCAATGTTTTGGCCAAGGTAAGACAAGTGTTGGAGTTTTTCAGGCGCTCGAATGGAGTAATGACTAGCAATGTATTAGACTGAAGGTACTGAAGCATAAAGCGCTTTTGCAGTAATCATGGTCTCATTTGAGCTCATATATTACAGTTCTGTATGAGCATATTGCAGCTGCGCTTTGTAAATTTTGCATCAAAAAGTTTCCATAACCCTCCTCCCAGAAGCGTTTCGCCGATAAAAAGCAGATTCGGAATGAGCGTTTCATGCTGCAAGAGACAGTATACATCTTTTATAAAAACTTCGACCAAGTATCCTCCCCTTGTAAGAAACAGCTTCTAGTGCAAAGATGACTGAGCAAATTAGCTTTTCTCAGCAACTTCTTCTGATTCGATATCACCCACTAAAAGGCCTTTCCTCTTTGAAGCTATTCTAATTTTCCATCTTAGTGCTTAGCTGCTCCTAGCTAATAGAGCATACGTTTGATGAGTTGGTGTGAGAAGAATCCGAAAAACGTACAGAAAAAAGTACTAACGGAAAGAGCTCACGTGCGCACACTTTCCCAAATTTGTTTTGAGGTTTCAAAATTTGAAAATTAGTTTGGTCTACAGCTTGCATTAAAATATATTTTCTACATTGATTTCATGTATGAGACAGGATGGTATTTGAAGGCACCGCAAAAATTTCGACAAACCCCGTTCCGCAGAGTCACAGCCAATCCGTTCTCCGAAACTGTGATTGGTTAGATGCGCACCGATGGGCGGGACGAACGTCACGCCCACCTAAAGGGGAGCAGCCAACCAATCACAGATGGAAAATCCGTCATCCAAAGCAATTTTCTTAACAATTTTCTCGCTTTGGGAGCAATCGGCAGCACGAGTTATGCAAGTATACAGTGAAGGATTCCGCTACTGTTAGCCAACAAAAAACTTGTCGACCCCATTTTGGGTAGACGGTGCTTTTAATAGTAAGAATGAGACAAAATGACAATGCCGAAACCTGAAAAATATAAAAGGGTTTGCTTCTTCAAATCATGTATAGCAGCAAAGTGTGCTAAGGAGAGTGCATTTAAAACGGTCGCAATAGAGGGTAGGTTTGTATGTGAAGCATATATAAAGCCAAAACTCTTCGCTATCATAACAAGTCACTTGCGTTTGTAGTTTGACATCACTTAACATTACGCTAAGCTAATCATTTTTGAATTATATGCTTTCGTCAATGGCAGTGGCATCGAAGCTATTTTTAGAGCTTTCCGCAACGTGATGTCTTAACATAGGCACAATGACAAATTTCCAAATGCATTTCAACCGTATACTTTCTACCCCACCGATCATTTCGTTCCAAAGCAATCATACATACCTTATAGCAGGCCTCGGTTTTGTCAAATAATGTCCATCCACTCTCGCAGCGTGCAGGACATGCTAAAACAATCTCAGTGACTAACAAGCAAATCTTATGCGCAAACAGACCCAAATTCTGCTTAAGTGCAGCACTGTTGGATAGACTTCCCAAAAATTGTGCCTGCTGTTTGATCTTCAATATCTCTCTTAAGGCACATTCGGTAGAGCTTGCGAGCGAATTACCGATCTTCATTACTGTAGGGTTACGCTAGATACTTGCAGCATATGGCGCTACTGTGAGATAGATTATTTGGAAAAAGTTCTTCAAAAATCTGAAAGAATATGTGTACTTCAGCATGCAGCCACTAGACGGCGGCATACGAGTTTTCAAAGCTTTTCAAATGGTGCAGTCAAATTTTTGACCAACTTCAAAAAAGGTGGCCACATACATATATTTGGCACAAAAAAAAAGAAGCGTTACGCTAAAGTGCCAGTTTCGTATTTGATATCAGCTACACTGACTGGCCTAATGTGAGAATTTTTCAACTTGTTTGGCTTTTAGAAGTGAAATTTGCCTCAAATGAGTCGAGACCCTCGAATTTCTACCGTAATCTCAGTGTAATTAAGAGATGCTATTTATCTAAATCAAAGTCAGCTCTACAATATGTTACTTCAAGGAAGGCGCTAGGCAATGAAGCAAACAGCAAATAGAATGAAATCAAATTCACGAAAATAGCCAAATCGGGTAGGTAGAAATCATAAATTTGAAAACGACGATTATTCAACCATCACCAAAGGACTAATAACAAGGACTTTAATGCTAGAAGAGGGAAGAAATTCTGCATCGAATATTTCTTAGATCGTTTGTCTATCACTATTCTGAGTGGTCTTCGGATAAATCTCAAAAACACAAGAACTTTTGAACCTATCTAATATTTCCATGTTGATCGTTTTTTCCATCTCAAAGTGAGTAATGCCTAGGCGTTTTACTAGGGGGCTTATTTTTTGTGCAAAGATGTAAAACAGAACAAAATCGATAAAGTTTGGCGTTTTTCTAGTGAGACCCTAATTTGGGGTAACAAGAAGTAGTGCTTGTCCAGTGCAGTGCAGAAAAAATTCTGCAAAAATTATAAGCCAACTCAATCTTTGGGGCAAGGTTATTTGTTTTTGAAAATGACGGTTTCAGCTGGGTGGCTCAGTATTTCTGCAAAACTTGCTGAAATTAATTTACGGATGTTATTTACATGCCAATTACGGATATAACTCTTATTGTTCTTTACAAAACTTCCCATTTTTGCTGATAGATATTCAGAAGGCCTCATTGAAACACAAGTTGAGGGGGTCGTATCTAGAGCCACTCCTTCTACCCTGATAAAGACAACAAAGAAAAACAAGTTGTGTGTTTTAGAACTTGCTCAGGTTTTTCGGTGCTTGTGTAAATAAACTCCGCCTACAGCCGCATTCTCGTAAAGGAAGTCGAATGCAATTCTAAGGCTTCGGAAAACCGGAGCCAACTGCAGCACTTTCTCCAGTTTCCAAAACCCAACAATCGAGCCCGAAACCTGCCTCTCAAGCTAAGCAATAAAATAAAATATATCGCTGACCTGCATTAGATACAGAGAGATGCGAAAGACCATGATATATGTCCGGGCCTCTGCAAACGCATCTTTTTGATTTGTTATCAAATGATTACCAATCACAAACCTGAGGAGCTGCGTCGTTCTGTTCAAATCTACAAAAGCGTTTAATGATGGAATCAATACAACGAGAAGGAGCTTTATCGAATACATTCTGAAACCCTTTCAACAAATGCATGAACATATTGAAGGTTAAATTCGAGGAGCATTCAAGCAAGCAGATTGGGATGACAAAGAGAATGAACCGACAGTCTCAAGATGTTAGCCGGATGCTCAGTACAGAGAATCAGTTTGAAGCAGTCACTAAGGACTTGGAGATTTAACAAAGCAGTCGTCTATCTCTATCATCTGTTAATGAGAGCACCAATTAGGCCTTGCGTCCTGTTTGTAACTGTTGTTTTCTTAGAGAGTTGGGCTTCAACCTTCATGTTCGCAACGCTATGCTCCAAAGAACGAGCTAAAGTTAGGCATAGAATGCACAAATGGTACGTACATACGATTCTGGTACTTCCAATCATTTGCTTGGCCATAAATCAAGGAATTATAGCGATCTGGATTTCCGTAGATTACCATGCGCAAATGTTTGGAGATTCTCACATTTGTGGCTTCAAAAATCCATAAACAGCAGTTCATAAATTTCAGTGTGGTAGTCTAGGCATCTTACCACAGCTTGTAAGTGAAATTAAAGAACTCAAAATTGTGATTTTACTGATCAAGTTATGCTATGTCTCCTAATGAAATTTGGATTAGTCTTTTATGACCGCTTAGAGTGATGGAAAGAATCAACAAATTTGAAAGAGACTTTGTACACACAAACTTTGTGGCAGGGCTTATCCCAATATCATTTTTACTGAAACCTTATCGATTTATTGTTTTTCTGGCAATTTGCTTGGAGGACTAAAGACTAGCAGAGGGGTAAGTCTGCTGAATAAAACTAAGTTAGCCACTACTTTCCTTGTTGACCTCTTTTACCATTTACTGATTGATAGACGTTCATATTGGTCATATCACCGCGTAGCGGCAGTAAAGCAGGTGGTAATCAGGATATATGTTTTCACTAATAGAAAATTCTAGAGAAAAATGTACATGGTAGCAAAGATTTCGAAACTACCTCTACAAAATAAACCTTAGCTAAGTAACAGCTACTTGTCTAGATACAGAAGGGTACAGAATAGCAGAAGGGTAAGTCTGCTGAATAGAAGTGAGCTATTCACTACTTCCCTTGATACAATGAATGCCAAACATCCCGTGTGCTTTAACTACTGCTGCGATGGAATGTGGCGCAAAAATGGAAACTTTCCAAAGACAAGTCAGCAGCTATACGGCTAAGAATTTCCCGAAAAAATGTTTGAAAAGTTTTTTCAAAATCCAGAACTATATCGTTATATTTCTACATCGACTTCGTTGCTAAAGTTTCATATGTGAAATTAAATGAGGACGCAGCAGCTTTGCAGCCAAAGAGCAGAAGTTTCGCTACAATGTTGTATATAGTATGTATATAGTCATCAAGTTTATCCAAAACCCTTTCTGAAAGCTTCCGTTCTCCTTCAGCACTAATTTTAAAACTTCCTGAAGGCTTCGAGAATTCTCCGAGACGATTTCTAGTTTTTCCAAGGCCTGAGAAGTTCATGTAAATAGTCTAAAAGTATTGAAGAGCCGAAAATTTGCATGCCAAAACAAAATTACTTACCAGCTGACCTCATATCATCTTCAGTTTATCTTATCCTCCATTATTCTTTATAAAGCGAGTGCTTCAACTTGCTCTCCCACCAATAAAGCTTGCATGAACACGTGACTTCAAAATATTAGGGTGTCTTATAACTTTTTTACCGTTTTTACCCTAAACATCAGCATTTCTTGAGACTGGGGCACCTGCAAAGGATCCGAATACATGATTGTACCTCTGTATGTATGAGTTATATGATCACCTGCGCGTGGGAGGAGCACGGGATGTTTAGGGGCGAAATTTGCCATTTTGCATCATTCATTTTTCTTTATTTCTAGCCATGGAAAAAATTCGAAAATGTACAGTTGAACATGCCATGTGTCAAGCATATGCCGGGTCAAATGGGGAATTTTTTTGGATAGTTTGGGTCAGAGGTACGATTCTTGAAAGAAAAGTTCGTCTTCGACTACTATCAGATTTCAACTCAAAACTTCACGTGGGATATGATTTGAACAGACTTTTGATAGCCATCTTGCAGAACTTGCTTTGCCCTGTCGAACAATTATTCAATCCATGATTATCACATCAGATGAAGGAAAGGTACAAAAAGACGGCGGTTGTAGTAAAAACGAAAAAATCATGAGACACCCTAATACACCAGATTATATCAAATTATACTATGAATTACACCCGAAATTTTTGCTGAAGATATTATATTTATATAAAATTTTCAGATTTTTCCCACCACTGATATAGATGATGTTCATTGTGGAGTTCACCAACCATTGCGGAGGCTTAAATCAGTTCACTACAAATGTGGTAAGCTCCAATAACAAAGCTGAACCAAGATTCACAAAGGCTTTCCTATATCACGGACAAGTTTGCTTTAACACCCCATAACTTTTCCAAATCACCAACAAGAGATTTTTTTTGGTCTTGGAATTCTTTCGCCCTCCTTACCTTGAATAAAAAAGATCACGCATTTCTTTTCGCTTCTGAAAATGGCAAAGCTTTAGTTTATAAGAATTCTACCTTGTAACTGCCATAAATATTTTTTTTCGCCTTGAATTATATCCGGCAAAAATGTTGTGCATTCTTCAAAGTATTTATAGTAGGTTTTTTGATTGAAGTATTGCGTACTTCCAACACCTTGAACACTTTCCCCACTAAAATGTCCACAATCTTTCTGACTCAGAAAACATCCGTGCAGAAGAGCGAGCTCTCCTTTCTCATAAAATTCTTGCCCCGGCAGCGACGGTAACTTTTAGAAAGGTCTCGTGAAACATCGATATAATTGGCATTTCTATATCTCTAAAGCAAATTTGAGTGAAACTTCTATAAAAGCAGAATTTCACTTATGTAGACATTTTTCCACACCACCCTTTCTTAAGGTTAAGCAGCTGAATGTCTTCATGGCTCGATAAAATCATCTGCACCGGACTTTTTTTTAAAAAGGTTGTCGATGAGATTTTAGTGACAGCAGCAGAATAATTTCAAGGAATTTACTGCTACTTTCAATTCTTTGATCCTTATAATTTCGGCGATGTTCAGATGAAAATGCTATGAAGTCTTACAACCTAGGATCACCCAAAAGTATAAGCAAACCATATACAAGGTGTCCCAAAAGTAAGTACACACTTTTTGACCGTTAATAACTCTCTTTCTAAGAATTCTTTTGCTTAGCGTTAGGCATCATTCGGTAGAGTAGGCTTCAGCTTAGATTCAGAGTATGGAGCGAATCACCCATCGCTCTTCATTGCTGTTGGATTGCGGTAGGAATTTCCAGCGTACAGCGCCACTATGAAATAATCCGTTACAGAAAAAAATTATAAAAAATTCTGAAAAGTTGTGCAGAGATGTTTTCATACATGTTTTGCTGACTTCATTAAACACCTTTTTAAAGTTTTCCAAGCGTTTCAAATGATTTTAATCACATTTTTGAAACATACAAACTTTATTGCTGTCTACCTGACATAACTTGTGAAAAAAAAGTTTTGCACTGCAATTTTCAAATTCATAATCAGCGACTTATTTCAGCCTAATGCTAAGGTTTTTGGCTCGTTGAGAATTCATTCTGGTGCAAAAGCTTTACCGTTGTCCTACAGTGATGAAGAGAACTGAGCACTTCACTCTAGGTAAATTTAAGCTATGGCCTACTCTACCGAATAATACCTAAAGCTAAGCAAAAGATTTTGTGGGAAGCAAGTTGTTATCGTTTGAAAAGTGTGTACTTACTTTTGGACATCCTGTATATGAGAGTTTTGTCGTCGACAGAATGTAACACTGCTAACTCTTCAATTATAAGTGGCAAGCAAATAAGTAAGGAGAGACCGCCGTTTATCTGTCAAAAAATAGAAAGAAAGTGAGGCTATAAGGGTAGGAAAAACAGTGATAAGAATGGGCAAAAGTGATAGCACTCATGTCATGAGGATTCTTTTATACTGCAATATGGCAACGCTTTCCTTGAAAGCAGCGAAACGCCCACTTTGTCATGTTTTCCGTTTTCTGAGATAAAATCTTCCAAGCCCTCGAAGCGTTCTCACATTGCAAATCAATCGAAGGCATACTATTCAACGTCTTCAAACTTGTTTCAACAAGTAGGTTGAGGCGACCGGTTTAAGTAAATCCTCATATAACAGAGTTTTTAAGGGTTCACTTTTTTTGATGCCATAGGTAGAATTGGCATTATGAAAAGGTCTGGGGAGAAAAAAATTTGAAGGCATAATTATTCATACGCTGCCTTCAACGGTATAACAAAACATGGACGTTTAAAGGCCCGTAGTAAAGCTCGGGAGATGATCTCCCCCGAGGCCCTCATATGAGGCTCGGGTGAGATGAGGACTGCCTACTTTTCCGTGGTGTAAGTACGCAAGTCACCCTATGAGCTTCAGATCAAGCCCGGCAGGGAAATCAGCTCCCGACCGAGTCATCGGAGATGAGCCGGGCAACGACGACATAAAGTAAATACTGTGCTAAAGAGGAGAGCACAGAAAAAACTTTTGTAAGTTGCTCCCGAGTAACTTACGAAACATCGCAGCTGACGTTCTTTTGCCGTGCAAAGAATGAGTGAGGGTCGAAGAACAGCTGATTGCGCGAGGAAATCAAAAAAAGGCTTTTTTACAATTTTCTTACAGATGATACATTTTACGGAAAAACCGCTTCAGATGACAAAGAGGTAATTTTATCTTTTTATTCGTTTTTCGCTTAGTGTAATTTTTCTTCGTATGCCAAACTGATGTATATTTGTTTTATCTCGTTATTTGCTAGGTGAAATCTCTTATAGCTGCTATCATCGATTTTTCGATAACGGCCGCTATCAAAGGTCGCCAGGCCAAGTAGAAAAAAATGGTGACGCTATCCGCACTCGAACCACGGCTCCGCCGCTCGAAACGCATTAGTCTTATCCTTTTGACTAATAATGCACAAATGACAGAAACGTTCCACCTTTGAAAACGAACATTCAGTAAGTGACCTGCTCCAAATCAATCGT